GGGGCCTCTATGGGGTCCCTATGGGGTCTCTAGGGGTCTTCATGGGTCCCTATGGGGTCTCTATGGGGTCTCTCTATGGGTTTCCATGGGTCACTATGGGTCTCTATAGGGTCTCTCCATGGGTCCCTATGGGGCAGTGAGGGTTCCTGTGCGTCTCTATGGGGCACTGTGGGTCACTGTGGAACCCTATGGGTCCATATGGGGTCTCTGTGGGTCTTTATACATCTCTATGGGGTCCCTATGGGGTCCCTATGGGGTCTGTATGGGTTCCTATGGTCCCTATGGGTCCTTATGGGGTCTCTATGGGTTCCTATGGCCCCTATGGGGTCTGTATGGGTTCCTATGGTCCTTATGGGGTCTGTATGGGTTTCTATGGTCCCTATGGGGTCTGTATGGGTTGCTATGGGGTCTGTATGGGTCCCTATGGTTCCTATGGGGTCTGTATGGGTTCCCATGGGTCTGTATGGGTCCCTATGGGGTCTGTATGGGTTCCTATGGGGTCTGTATGGGTTCCTATGGGTCCCTGTGGGTCTCCATGGGTCCCTGTGGGTCTCCATGGGTCCCTATGGGGTCCTATGAGTCCCTATGGGTCTCTATGGGTTCCCATGGGTTCTGTATGGGTTCCTATGGTCCCTATGGGGTCTGTATGGGTTCCTATTGTCCCTATGGGGTCTCTATGGGGTCCTATGGTCCCTATGGGTCCCTATGGGTTCCTATGGGGTCTCTATGGGTTCCTATGGGGTCCCTATGGGTTCCTACGGTCCCTATGGGGTCTCTATGGGTCCCTATGGGGTTCTATGGTCTCTATGGGTCCCTACGGGGTCCTATGAGTCCCTATGGGTCTCTATGGGGTCTGTATGGGTTCCTATGGTTCCTATGGGGTCTGTATGGGTCCCTATGGTTCCTATGGGGTCTGTATGGGTTTCTATGGTCCTTATGGATCCCTATGGGTCCCTATGGCGTCTCTATGGGTCCCTATGGCGTCTCTATGGGTCCCTATGGGGTCCTATGAGTCCCTATGGGTCTCTATGGGTCCCTATGGGGTCTGTATGGGTTCCTATGGTCCCTATGGGGTCTCTATGGGTTCCTATGGTCCCTATGGGGTCTCTATGGATCCCTATGGGGTCTGTATGGGTCCCTATGTGCTCCCATGGGTCCCAATGGGGTCGGTATGGGTCCCTACGATCCTCTCACCGCGCTGCGCTCCAGGAACCTGGCCCCAAATTCCTGGAAGAGTTTCCTGCCCTCTTTGGGGTGGGGG